TTATCTCGCCCCAAATGTCAGTAGTGCTGAGGTTGAGAAACTGTGTCCTAAAGGTGCATTCTACTCGTATCTGTGCTGGGAGCTTGGACTTGTCTGTGGTGGGTGGGGCCTCAGGCTGCCAACTGGACTCAGTATGCTGAGAGGTGCTTATGAGACTGTAGAGGAAAATGACAGTTCTTGAAGTCCATCGGTCCTTTCTCTGGCCAGGTGACCAGCAGTATTCTTGGTAACTCAGGTGCCCAGGAGTACTTGATTTGATTGTAGAAGGGCCATGTCTGACTCTTGATTTTGGCTCAGGTCATGATCTCATGGTTTATGAGTTCGAGCCCTGTGTTGGGATCTTTTGCTTACAGCCTGGAGCCTGCTTGGGATTCTCTCTCTCTCCCTCTCTCTCTTTGCTCCCTCCAGCTTGTGCATGAGCACACACACACATTCTTTCTCAGAATAAACAAACTATAAACAAACAAGGGGGTTTCTCAAAAAGGCGTATACCTGACATATTCATATGCATCCTCCAGATTTCAGTATTTCCATTTGGAAGGGTATACTTCTCCTGGACTGTTGTAGAACATTGTTCTCCTAAAATATCTGTAGATGGTCTCTCCCCTGCTTTTTTCCTTCTTCTGCCTTGTTGCTGTTGTTGAGGATTGTGCTCCTCTGTCCTTGAGTGCCCCTCCGTAACACCCAGCTTGTTTGTGGGAGGAATTGGAAGCGTTCCTTCCTCTCCCTGTTGCTGTGGGAGAGGGGAGCTGCGACTATCAGCATAACTGGGACTATAGCTGCGGATTGCCAAATCACCTTCTCATCAGAAAGAGAATATGAGAGCCACATCCTGTCGTAGGGCACATGTATTATCCAGGATTAATTTCTGTTTCAAACAACTGAAAACCCAAAGCAGCATGGCTCAAATATATTGAAGTTTATTCCTCTCACAGCAATGTGGGGCTGGTAGGATGACTTCATAATTTTTCAGGGGGCCAGGTTCCTTCCTTCTCACCTTCCTGCTCTTTTATCCTCAGCATGTGACTTCTATCCAGCTTGTGTTCCAAGGTGGCAACTCAGGCTCTAGCTGTCAAGTCTGCTGATAGGGAGAACAAAGAAAGGCATGTGCTGCCCTTCAAAGAGACTTCCTGAGGTCTTAGTTATCTGAATGTTTGCTTACATCCTTGGGACAAGAGCTTAGTTACTTGGCCATACCTGCCTGCGGAGAGGGGTCAGGAAATGTCAGCCTTATTTTGGGCAGCCATGACTCCCGCTAAAATTTCTATCACTGAGGAAGAAATGGAAGAACAGATATTAAGAGATAACTAGCAGTTTTTGCCACAAAGAGACTTTAGGGATTTGTTTCTGCTTTGGGGTTGGGTATGGATCTGCTACAAGCTCCTAGAGATTGAACACGCTCACATGGACCCCACACTTATCAGCGTAGGCTTTCCAGCCAGGAAATGAGATCGGAGAAGAGGGAAGGCTTAGTCAGGTGTTGTAATTGTGCAGCTGCATCTGAGCACCTGGCCTCCAGGCCCAGCTTTGTGCTTGAGCCCTGACAGAATCTATGGTGCTAGATGGGGATGGGAGTTTGGGGAGGCGTGGAGGGGTGGAGATCAGATGGTGAAATGTTTCTTAATTAGAATCAAGAAAACATTAAGGGGACTTGGCTTCCACATGGTAGACTGTTCTTGAAGCTCCCTGTTCTCTGGCAGGGCTGAGAGAACGGTGAAGCAAGTAAGTTTCCTGGGGCCAACATTTAAGGATACACTCACTCTGGGGGCACCTGGGTGGCTTTGTCAGTTAAGAGTCCGACTCTTGGTTTCGGCTTGGGTCATGATCTTGCAATTGGGGAGTTTGAGCTCCACATTGGGCTCCGTGCTGATGATGCAGAGCCTGCTCAGGATTCTCTCTCTCTCTCTCTCTGCCCCTCCCCTGCTCATGCTCTTTCCCCCTCTTTCAAAAATAAATACATAAACTTAAAAAAAAAAAAAGGATGCACTCACTCTGAGGTTCTCCAGGTGGCCCTGAAAGTGAGCACCTCCTTGAATTTTGTGCCCCAGGCACCCTCCTCACCTCATTCTACTTCTGGCCTTGCTCCCTGGCTGCACATTGTTTTAGAGTAAGTATTTTAATTTTTTACCAAGGAAGAAGCATTTGTGCATGGTAAACAAATCAGAGTATAAAGCAGTATACAATGGGAAAAGTGTCTCTCGCTCACCAGAGCTTCATTCTCCTTCCCCAGAGGCAACCACTGTGACGAGGCTCTTTTATATCTTCCCAGCTGTCATTCAGAAGGGGCTCTCAGGGCTTGAGGAGCTGCCTTTCACTTATTGGTCACTGAATTGCCATTGTGTGCAATATTTACTTCTGTGCAGAGAGGATCAAGCCAGAGGGGAATCTGTAGCAGGATGGAGGCAAGGAGAAGGAACAGGAGTGAAAGGGAGAGCCTGTCAGTGGGGCTGAGGAGTATGTCTTCTGTGTATTTCTGTGTAGTTTTGCATCTTTCTCTGTTAGTGTTTTTCTCACAAGCTGCACGCCCTCTCACTTCTGCTGCTTTTCGTAGTCCTGCTTCCTTCCGCTTCTTTTTTGTGGTTTTTGCTCCTCTGTTATTACAAGGGCCTGTATGTACCTTTGACTTGTTGTGTCTCCCAACTATGCTACTGTTAGATAGATTCCTTCTCGCTACCCCACTCTGTGTTACTGGGAAAGACAATTGAATAGGCTCAGTTTGAGTGATCAGCTCTGATAGGTGAGGGGGAGCAATTCCCAAGAAGGGGCCTGACAGGTACCTCAAAATATGCTTACTGTATTGGATAGAGGTCTGTGGATTACTGGTGGCTATTAACTAGGTAATCCTTATGCTGGCTGATCTAGGCTTAACCCCACACAGAGAACTTTGATTAGCAGGGCAGGTCCCTGGGAAGACCTGCAGCAGCATGCATTCCTTTGGCCTTCCCTCCCCTTTGACCATCAGCTCCCCCCATCCCCCATATGACTAACTAGTGAGCACCTGTATCATTTGCTAGAGTACTGAGGGAAAGCTCTTTAAGTGCTATGGAGGCTATTTAGCCACCATGTTTATTTCCACAGACTCTAGGCTCTTCTCACATGTGTGTAGAGAAATGTCAACTTTCTGACAATTGCCTCACTCCAGGGAATTGGTGATTAAGTGAAAGTCATCACCGGGGCGCCTGGGTGGCTCAGTCGGTTAAGCGTCCGACTTTCGCTTAGGTCATGATCTCGCGGTTCGTGGGTTCGAGCCCCGCGTCGGGCTCTGTGCTGGCTGCCAGCTCAGAGCCTGGAGCCTGTTTCACTCTGTGACTCCCTCTCTCTCTGACCTTCCCCTGCTCACGCTGTCTCTCTCTCTCCTAGAAATAAATAAAACATTAAAAAAATTTTTTTAATAAAAAAAAAAGAAAGTCATCACCATCTTTTTTTTTTTAATGTTTATTTATTTTGAGGGAGAGAGAGAGAGCACATGTGTGAGTGGGGGAGGGAAGAGAAAGAGAATTCAAGTATGGTCCACACTGTCAGTGGGGAGGCTGACATGGGGCTTGAACTGACGAACTGCAAGACCATGACCTGAGCCAAAATCAAGAATCGAATGCTCAACTGACTGAGCCATCCAGGCACTCCAAAAGTCATCACCATCTTGATTCCAACCAGAGTTCATCAGTTCCCCTCTTTGCTTAGCAATAAGCTTAAGAAAACAATATGCTTTTGTTTCCCCCTAATAGTTTGTGGTCTCCTTGGGGAAGCACCACACCCATGCCCAAGGGGGAGACCTTCTTGAGATAGATGTCCATATGACCATAGCATGAGTTACTAAGCTGTGCTATGAAATGGGAATGCCATAGGGTTCAGGGAGAGAGCTCAGTGAGGGGCTGGCTGGCATATTTGGGGGAGGTTTTACAGAGGAAGTGGGGACTGAGCTAGACCTTGAAAGTGGGAGTTGTCGGCTGTGGCAGGAGGAGGAAGAAAGGACTTTCTTTTAAATGTTTATATGGCACCAGTAAGAAGAGAGTCTAGGTGAAGAAGAGAGTGCAAAATGGGTAGGAATAGGTAGAGGCCACCTGGGGGATGAACCCAAATGATTTTGTAATAATATCTGAGGTTCACATAAAAGTTCTGTTTTTGGAGGCTTAGGGCGGTAGTTAGCAGTGTCATGGTGGAGCCTCTTGTATTCTGTTCTTGTGTCCTCCTGGTGGGTCAGAGGAGTCCCTGTTTCGCAAGGGTAAGGTTCTGGGACACTCAGCACAGGGCCCAGATGTTACTGATGTCCAAAAAAAGTGGGAACTTAAAGCCAGCAGTGCAGACAGGAGCCTAGAGAATTGGGCAAACGGTTCTCCATGGGCCTCACTGAGAATCAGGAGGTTTGCATAGAAATGGAGGGGGTGAATGAGGAGGGGGCCTTGTAAGCTTAGGAATGGCGGTAGCCTTCTATAAAATAGGAATAGATAAAGTTAGCCTTATCTATAGGGATAGGGACACCTATATTTTAGGGTTGTGAGAATTAATCGAGAGGATGCACGTGGAATTATCAGGTACATACAGGCTTTTAAATATATATACTTACATGCAAAACATTGTCTCTCTAATTCCTAGGTGACCTGCCACTTGTATTAAATTCACCTCATTTATTGATGGACAGCTCTTGTCCCCATTCTCTAATGTAGCCATGGAAGTGTTTTGTGCCTTGGGTGGTTTGGAACCTTGGGAGTCTGCATGGGGAAGAGTGGGTGAAGTCCATTATTCCTGGGCCTGGGGGCAATTTCCAAAAAATGATTCAAAAAAGAATTCATGAATATGTGTTAATGTGTGCCTTCGTATCTTAACTTGTCAACAGGGATGGACAGATGGTGGATGGCCCTCTATTTGCCTGTTCTTGTGGTTCTGAATAGATCATTGGCCCCTTTGGTTTTAGTCAGGGCAGAAGTGATGCTCTCTAAGGAGAGGTTAGATCTGTGCCCTCAGCTCAAGCATGCCAGTGATTTTTCTGTTTTTCCTTCTAGGTCTGCTGACATTTGTCAACTGTGCCTATGTCAAATGGGGCACACGTGTGCAGGACACATTCACTTATGCCAAAGTCCTAGCGCTCATTGCCGTCATTGTCATGGGCCTTGTTAAACTGTGCCAGGGTAAGATGGGCCTGGGGTGGGAAGGAGGGTGAATGACTCTGGGAATTTGCGTGGGTTTCCTGAGGAGGACATGAGGAATCTTGGCTTAACTGGTCAGCTTGTTCTGTGTATGTCCTAGACGGTCAGTGAGAGTATGACATCTGTTCCTGGGCTTCTTGGACCAGGCTGGCTTGGCCAACTGAACATGAGTCAGTCCCTCCCTCAGGACTGTTTTCTCTTTGTGGAGGCCGGGAACATTGCAAGAAGGCAGCTGAGAGACTAGGTCATGTGTAATTGGGTCATAAATGTAACTGATGGGGATAGAGTGACCCCTGCTGAGGCCCTGTTTTTGGTCTGTGACTGCCAGGCAGCAAGTAGGAAGACTTGGCCCTCCTTGAGAGGAGTGGGAAGGTGTGCGTGGAGGGTAGATGGAGTATAGAAATGAGTGGTTGTTTTAGAGTCTTTACTTTTTGCTTTTATTTAGCATTTGGTCCCCAAAGTCAGCTCTTAGCAAAATATTAAAATAGTATGAAGCACTGGCTTTCCTACATGTCGGCTTTAGAAAGCTTTTCATTCCTGAATCAGAGGAGACTGGACGGGAGGCTAAGAGGCCTGACAAGGTCGCCTGAGCTCTTAGGGAAGTCCGGTCGGTCATGTCTTTGGCCAAAGATATCTCAATCACTTACTTAAACAACCTAGTTCTCTATTGTCTGTCTCTAAGCTCAGCTGTGTTTACATTTACCAGGGGGAGGTGAGACCCCCTTCTCAGATCTATTGGATTAAACTCTGGTTGGTTTTGGAGTTCAAAAAGCTCTGTTTTTAAGTGCTTGAGTGATTCTTAGGCAGCTGGTCCAGTACCTTGGCGTATGTGCCAAGTTAGTACAGCCAGCCATCTGGAGGTCCCTGGAGTCCCAGGAACATCTCAGGTCAAATTGGGTAGCTGAGTTATCGTCCTACCAAGATCTATGCCTTAGGAAACCACTGCTGGGAGTGATGACTGACACCCTTTGGGCACAAAACCCCCTATTTTCCCTTCTCTTGCTGCACACACATCCCTTTTTGACACATTGAAAGAATAGGTCTGCTTTTTGCAGGAGGTTACAGCAGGCTTCCTTAGAAGTATGGATCTTGTTTAAAAAACCTCCAGTGTGCCTAAAAGGTCTCTCTTCTGGGAAACTGGGTGCTGCTCCCTTGGCTTTCAAGTGTGCGGGCTCCAGGGGCCCCCAGGAAGAACGACAGGTGCCCCGGCTGGCTCTCCACGGGTGGACGTGGCATAGGCCTACCCCAGGCTCAGCAAGAGATGAGAACATCCCAGTTCCTACATAGCTTGTGATTTCTTGCCGCATGCAACCGCAGCCCCTGAGAGTAGAGCAACAGTGTTCTCCCACGAGAATGAGAAAACTGACCACATTGTGCAGCGGTCTTGGCCAAGAGAGAGAGTTCCACAGGAAGGTCTAATTGTTAGTTAAAACTGTGAAAAAGGGTTATGTCTAAAAAATAAGAAGAAGAGCTCAGGCCTACTGTGAGGTCACTTGGAAATTCAGCAGAGCTTTGTAAAAGGAGTTATCGCTTCAGAAACCAGGAGTGCCTTTGTTTTTCTGAGATTGTGTAATTTTGCTACAGGAATATGAACTTTCTTGAGGGAGTGGGTGGGGTAATAAAGTACAGGGAGCTGGTGGTTGTTCTTTTGGTGTTAAATTATGTTTTTTTTCTTCCCTCTGCCCGCTTGCTTTTCCCTTCTTTTCTTCCCCCTCTTTCTTCCCCCTCTTCACTTCCTCTTTCTTACTGTCTCTCCCTGTTCTTCTCTTCTTTTTATACCTTCCATCTCTCCCCTCCTTCTTCCTCTTCCTTCTCCCTGAGCCCCTTCCCCTACCTGCCTTTGCCCCAACAGGACACTCTGAGCACTTTCAGGACGCCTTTGAGGGTTCCTCCTGGGACGTGGGAGACCTCTCTCTCGCCCTCTACTCTGCCCTCTTCTCTTACTCAGGTTGGGACACCCTTAATTTTGTAACAGAAGAAATCAAAAACCCAGAAAGGTAACGGTGGGATCACACTCTCACTCCCCAGCTTGGCTGGAACTCCTGCTGATAGTGGGTGCACTTGCCTTCTTCCCTCCCCTCCTTTCTCTTTCTCTCATTCCTTCTTCTCCCTACTCCCCTTTCTCTAGCTTGGAGGAATTAGGGGCTATGCTGGGAATGAGTGAAGGTGGGCCTGTGGCTCCTCACCCTCAGGTTTACACCTGCTCAAGGAGAGGTTCTTCAGTGACTGGTTCTTCAGTGGCTGACCCAGCTGGGGCTAAGGTGTTAGAACCTCATACTCTGGTGCTGACACTGAGCCTGGGGAGCCAGAAGTTGATTCTGAGCAGCCCGGTCCCAGCCTGACCACCAGTCCCCGCAGGACACTGCTCCTCCTTCAGTGGGATGCATTGGTCCTATTGTGGTGAGGATCAAATACTGATCCTCAGCTGTCTTCACAGAGAAGGGTTTCTGTCTCCCCCTCTCCTTCTCCTTGTTCCTCTCTCTCTCTGTTTCTCCATAGAAAGGGCATGGGATTCATACCCACCCTAGGCCATGTGGGGAAGAGGAGCCTGCCTCAAAGATTTAGAGCCAGGGAACTGTTAAACTTCAGAAAAATCCCTGGGTGAACTTTTTTTTACTCTAAGGAGAGCTGATTCTAGATAGTCCTGTCTCACTTGTCCTGACAGAAATTTGCCCCTGGCCATTGGGATTTCTATGCCAATTGTGACGCTCATCTATATCCTGACCAATGTGGCCTATTACACAGTGCTGAGCATTTCAGATGTCCTTGACAGTGATGCTGTGGCTGTGGTGAGTACCCATTTGCTCATCTTCTTATAACGCTGAATGGCTCGACCTCTCTTTCTGTAGCCACTCCAGTTCTGCCGGGTGGGATGATGGGGCTAGGTTAGAGGGTGGTGGGCTGCTCAGTAGTGATGGCATCTGTCCTGAAGCATAGGTACAGGAAGCTTACGAAACCCTGTCCCGTGCTGAGTGCCTTCTGTGCTCTGCCCTCAGACATTTGCTGACCAGACGTTTGGCATGTTCAGCTGGACCATTCCTATTGCCGTTGCCCTGTCCTGCTTTGGGGGCCTCAATGCATCTATCTTTGCTTCATCAAGGTACTGTGTTTCTGCCTTACCCGTAACAGACTGCAGTATTTAATCCCCTCAGGCTCTACGTGAGCCTTAAGAGCCCTTCTTTCCCTTCTTTCTCTTAGATATATAGGGTGTATGTGTGTGTAAGCTAGTGTGCATGCATATGCTTGCCTTTGTGCCAACACTTGTGTGCTTGAAGCTCATGCTTCCATCTGAGAAGAGGACAAATTGGTTACAGGTAGAGGGGAGGAAGGTTGTAGCTTGGAGTAGTGACCCTGTCAGGGACTATACTCGAGCTCCTTATGCTGCAGCCCCAGGATTCATTCCTTTAGAAGATTATTATTGAGCACTTGCTGTGTACCAGGTGTTAGTACAGGATGACTCTGCCCCTCATTTCAAACACAGTAAGGCTGGCAGGTAGGCTCTTGGTCCCCTCTGTGTAGACTTACCTATAGGAGCACTTGTCTTTCCTCTTGTTTCAGAGAAAAGAGCAGTTCTGCTTTTCCAGGCTCACTCTGGGTTCTAGTACCACCTTCTTCTTTGGCATTTTGCGTTGTCACTTGGCCCTTCTCTTTGGTGGGTGTTCAGTTGGAGCCAGCTCTGCACTTCTCTCATCTCTGCTTAGTGAAATCACAAAAAAGCTTTTCTTATCTCCCTTCTTCCTGACACTTCTTGAGGGAGTGGTCTGCATATTGACTGTCAGTCCTTTTTCTAACCATTATACTTTGGCTTCTACTATGTGAAAATGTTCTTATTAAGTGTACCAGTGACCTCCTTAGCCTGCTTTTAGTCCTTCTCCCACTGGGGCCCCAAAGCAAGTGATGCTTACCACCCTCTACGTCTGAAACTATTCTTGTGACTCTGTGACACTCTCATATCTGAGAGGAAGGCTTCTTTCCTGATTTCTCTTCCACTCACCTTATAAATGTTGCTGTCCCAGGACTGGGAGTGTAATAGATATTCAAAAGATATTTTCTGCATGAACAGATAAGATGAACTAATTAAAAAATAGTTTCATCCTATGTATTTTTCTTACTAGTTTTGACACCCCAGTCCATGTCACCCTAGGGTAACCAGAATAATAGAGAGATCAAAGTCTTGTAAAACAGTGTGGTGCCATCTTACCTTACTTCAGCCTGGTGTGGCCAGGAGTGCGCCAGATGTGACTCTTACCAAGTTACCCCACCCAAAGATGGTGTTTCCTATAGCCTTATTGATTCCTAAGACATCCCAGTTGGCTCTGTCGATCTTTTTTTTTTTTTAATTCTTTAAATGTTTATTTTTGAGAGAGAGGAGCAGAGAGAGAGCGAGAGAGAGAGAGAGAGTGAGCAGGGGAGAGGCAGAGAGAGAGGGAGACACAGAATCTGAAGCAGGCTCTAGGCTCCAAGCTATCATATATTTTTTTAATTTTTTAAATGTTTTATTTATTTCTGAGAGAGAGACAGGGTGAGCAGGAGAGAGTCAGAGAGAGAGGGAGATACAGAATCTGAAACAGACTCCAGGCTCTGAGCTAGCTGTCAGTACAGAGCCCGACGTGGGGCTTGAACCCATAAACCGTGAGATCATGACCTGAGCTGAAGTTGGACACTTAACTGACTGAGCCACTCAGGTGCGCTTTCTTTTTCTTTTTTCTCTTTCTTTCTTTCTTTCTTTCTTTCTTTCTTTCTTTCTTTCTTTCTTTCTTTCTTTCTTTCCTTCCTTCCTTCCTTCCTTCCTTCCTTCCTTCCTTCCTTCCTTCTTTCTTTCTTTTTCTTTTTTAGGTCATATATTTATTTTTGAGTGAGAGAGTAGGAGAGCAAAGGAGGAGCAGAGAGAGGGAGGGAGAAGGAGAGAGAGAAAGAGTATCCCTAGCAGGCTCTACACTGTCAGCACAGTGCCCAACATGGGGCTCAATGCCACAAACCTTAAGATCATGACCTGAGCTGAAATCATGAGTCAAACACTTAACTGACAGAGCCACCTAGGTGCCCCGGCTCTGACAGTCTTCTTAAAATCCTTACATGGTAGGTGCCTTTTAACCTCATTCAGCTATATTGTGGCATTGACAGAATGGGGGTGGGGGTAGGGGTTGCAGAGGGTGCGGGTCTGGACCTGCATATAAAGGGGACTGCAGTGATGTCAAAATAACGCACAATTGTTTGTGTTACCTTCTCACTTTTTCTTTATTACCTATGTAGTTGTCTTTTGCTTTGTATTAGACACCTTTGCTGCACCAGGACATTATCCCCTTCCAGCATCCCCTTTACCATATTTCTTTTCTAACCTAGCACAAATTGTTAACCTTGTGTGCCAACTCCCAACATGACCCACTCCCTATGACCTTCCCAGATGCTATCCTCAACTCCTGTGGCTCCACCTGGATGGCCCACGAGCATCTCAGTGCACTTCACCTGTGCTTTTTTTCTAGTTGTGATGTTATGTGCTATCAGTTCTCCTTGCGTAGCGTCTGTGTTTTTCCCTTGATGTCTACCCTCTTGTTCCAGTTCAAACATGTACATGCATGCACACACATGTATATGCATACACTCACGTAATGAATCACCAAATTTAACTGAGGTTGTCACATATGTCTTGTTCTCTCCTAAGTCAGGGTGTTTACCCTCATTCAGGCCTCTTCTCTTATGGGACAATTGTCACAGGGTGCTTTCTTGTATGGCCTTCTCCCTATACCCTAACCTCTTCCTCCTTTAGTTGGCTTCCATGATGCCACCAGAGTCTCTGTGTCAAATCCTGTCAGGACTTTACTTCAGAGCCACAGCCGACTCTCAGTGTTTGCTCAGACTCCACAGCGTGGCCTTGTGTGCAAATTCTTCCCAGCTGTCTCCTCAAACACCTTATCCTGGGACTGCAGGCATTCTAGTACCAACCTTCAAGGAGGACACCCTCTTTCACTCCTCCAAGCTTCTTTTGCCTTTGCCTATGCTGTTTCCCACCCACCCACTCATCTTCTGGCAAACTCCCACTCTTCTTCCCAGCCCAGATATGGTCATCTCTTGTGAATGCCTAGCCCACCCAAGCATGGTGAGTGCCATGTGCTTCATGATGATGCTGATCACGCTGGTCGGTGGTTCACATCTTGCTGCTCTGTTTCTCAATCAGTAGGGCTCTTTGGGGACAGAGAGGAAGCCTGGGTTGTCTCTTTGAGCCCCGGGTTTATCCTGTCCTATCATATATCAGGAGCTTGGGGAAGATATATAGAGAGCTGGCTGCCCTTCTTTAAACAGTCATTGTATTAAGTATGAAATTTTTGGGGTGGTAGAGTGGAGGTACCCCTGGTGGAATGGGTTGGAGTGCCAGTGAGTGATGGCAGGGTGAGGCATTTATTGGGTGATTGGTGGGTTTTAGAGCTGAGGGCCTGGGGGCTGTCCATGGCCAACAGTGAGATAGGATGTGCCTGGATAATGTTGAAGTACCCATGGTTGGAGGTTGGAGACATCTGTGGGTAAAGCTGAGGGGTGAGGGTGGGGGTAGGTTGGGTTGGGCATGCATAGAGAACATGTGATGCTTCTGAGATGCTGCTTCCTGCTTTTTTTCTGGAGCTCTGAGCCTAGTTTGTCTGAGGAGTATGGCTACATGGCTAAAGGATCATTCTGACACATTCTTGTCCTTCTAGGTTGTTCTTCGTGGGCTCCCGTGAGGGCCACCTCCCAGATGTACTGTCAATGATCCACATTGAGCGTTTTACACCCATCCCTGCTCTGTTGTTCAATGTAAGTTCTGCTGGGGGAGTGTGGCAACTGTAGACCCCCTGCTGGCATTATGGGAAGACTGAGTGGGAGGTATACTAGCTTCTTCAGAAATTTCCCAAGCCAAGGGCCACGTGGGTGGCTCCATTGGTTAAGAATATTTCCCAAGCCTCTCAGTGCTTCTTTTTTCTTAAAATTTTTTTTAAAATATAAAAGTAAAACAGGGCATCTGGGTAGCTCAGTTGATCGAGCATCCGACTTCAGCTCAGGTCATGATCTCAGTTTGGGAGTTCAGGCCCCGCCTCAGGCTCTGTGCTGACAGCTCAGAGCCTGGATCCTACTTCAGATTCTACTTCTCTCTCTGCCCCTCCCCTGCTCACAATCTGTCTCTCTCTTTCTCTCTCAAAAATAAACATTTAGAAAAAAAATTTAAAGTAAAATGTAATTACATTAGAGAAGGCAACAGTACAAAAGAATATAAAAATGAATTTGTAAAATTTATTTATCTTTCTGTCAGTAGTTCTTTTCTTCTCCTCCTTTCCAGCTCCTTTATTATTATTTTTTTTAAGTAAAGCATATTTAGAAAAACCAGGTCAGTTGTACACCAACTACCTAGGGGCCTCTATTCATATTATAGATGTCATAGATTTTTTTTTTTAATTTTTATTTATTTCTAGGAGAGAGAGAGAGAGAGAGAGACAGCGTGAGCAGGGGAGGGTCAGAGAGAGAGGGAGAAACAGACTCTGAAACAGGCTCCAGGCTCTGAGCTGGCAGTCAGCACAGAGCCCGACGCGGGGCTCGAACCCACGAACCGTGAGATCATGACCTAAGCGAAAGTCGGACGCTTAACCGACTAAGCCACCCAGGTGCCCCGTCATAGATTTATATATAGTAGATGGCAGTAAAGCATTTTATTCCAACAAAATCAGTAAATTATGAAAGTATTCTAACAAATGAAAAAAGACCTGAAGAAGGACTGCCATTTTCTAATTTGCACTAAGGTATTACATATATAAAGGCCAACAAAGGCCTTGAGAAAGGCCTTACTCCAAGATTTGGAAGACAGTTTATTTATTTTTTGTCATTTAGTTCTTTTCTGGTTTCATTACTTAAGTTGAAATTTTGGATTCATCTGGAATTTATATATTAGTGTATGGAGTGAATGGGGAATTCACTTAATTTTTTTCTCAAATAGCTAGCCAGCCATACCAATATCATTTATTGAATATTCCATGTATCCATAGTTTAAAATTCTTCTTGTATAAAATAATAGCTAATTTTTAGGGTGCTTCGTGTGTGCCAAGTACAATTATGTACCCCTTAAGTAGTGTCATCAGCTCAACTAATCTCCTGCATCAGCACTAACCTTCATTATTTAGCTTTGCACTGAATTTCTGAAATCTCTTCTTTTTTTAAATGTTTATTTATTCTTGAGAGAGACAGAGAGAGGGAAGGCATGGGGCAGGGGCAGAGAGAAGGGGACAGAGCCTCTGAAGTGGGCTCCCACCTGACAGCAGTGAGCCCGGTGTCAAGCTCGAACTCACAAACCACGAGATCATGATCTGAGCTGAAGTCGGATGCTCAACTGAGTCTGCTACCCAGGCACCCCGGATTTCTGAAATCTAAAGAGGGACTGAGGATACTTCTATAGTTTTTTCTTTCCCCTCTGGAGTTTTCCTGGCAATTACATTTGTATTTTTCTTTATGAACTTTGTTATTTTGTCAAAATAACATAAAATCTTCTCAGTATTTTTATTGGGATTGGATTGAATTTGTAAATTTAGGGGAGATTTGACATCTTGTCTTTGAATCATCTTTCACCCCACTTTTTCCAGTACAGTTCCCTTTCTCTCCCCAGAATGGGCTCTTTTTGTTGATAATCTAGGTGAAAAGATTAACTGGGAAAACTCCATATTCTTGAAGTTTAAGTAAATCTGACCTTATCAGGACTTTAGTCCCTGATTTGTCTTCTAGGACTTTTTAGTTCCAGAGGTCAAATTCTGTCATACCTCTCTCATCAGGGTTATAGATCCAGTTTGCCAATCTGCATTTCTAAGACCTCAGGACAGTGAGTTGGTTCTGGAGGCATTTCCTCCATTTGTATGCCAGGTGGTTGGGACTCAGGAGTAATGGTCTCCAGAGGGCAGTGTGTTTCGTGTTGAGGTTGATGCATCAAAGTGAGGAGGGCCTAACTGTCTGCCATAAGAAGGGGAGGGAGTCTGTCTTGTTATTGAAGTGCTTGCAAAAAGAAGGGAGGCAGTGTGTGTAGAAAGGGCCAACAGAAGAGGGAGAGATGCCACCTTGAAGGTTAATGCAGAGAACTGACCTATCTGATGCCAAGGGGTCACTGAAAAGAACTGGAGCTAAATCAGCAATGAGTGGCAGATTGGATGCTGATTGCTGGGTGGTTGGAGTCTCCTAGGGTGGCTTGTTGGCAACAATGCCCACTCCTCCTCCTCTTCCCCTCCTCCTCCAGTGTACCATGACACTCATCTACCTCACTGTGGAAGATGTTTTCCTGCTCATCAACTACTTCAGCTTCAGCTACTGGTTCTTTGTGGGCCTGTCTGTTGCTGGACAGCTCTATCTTCGCTGGAAGGAGCCTGAGCGGCTCCGGCCTCTCAAGGTCAGTGATTCTGAACAAACTAGGAGGGGTGGGCCATCTCTCCTAGGTGACTTCTCTGTACCCTGTTCCTGCATAGCACTTTATCTCATATCTCACTTCCCTCCATTTCAGCTGAGCCTGTTTTTTCCCATCGTGTTCTGCATATGCTCCTTGTTTCTGGTGATTGTGCCTCTATTCAGTGACACCATCAATTCCCTCATTGGCATTGGGATTGCCCTCTCTGGGGTTCCTATCTACTTCGTGGGTATTCATCTGCCAGAGTCCCAGAGGCCACTCCTTTTTCGTAGTGTCCTAGGTAAGTTTCTTTGCCCATCACTCACTGCGCGCGCGCGTGTGTGTGTGTGTGTGTGTGCGCGCACGCGCACGCACGTATGCGCAGAGGTGGGAGTGGTGGCTAAAAGCTTCCCCTATAAGTGATGTACTGGAGACCACATGACTTCTCCCATTTTGATCATGAAATGAGCACTTCAGTTCTAACTTTAGAGTCCTATTTTTGGGTTAAAACACTCCCTCCTGAAAGTGCAGTTCATGTGGGGAGACGAGGAGTCGTGCATCACTTTCTGGTTGGGCATGGAATGGAGGTCAGAGAGGCTTACAGGGGTAACAGGCAGAGCCTGCCACAGGATACCCAAGGGACAAGTGGGAGGGAGCCATAGATGTGCTTTAATCAACTTGGTGGTATTCATATTGGGATTGTAGCTAACCATCAGTTTGCTGAATTCTGTTCTCCATTTTCATTTAGCTGCTATCACCAAAGTCACCCAGCAGCTTTGCTTTTGTGTCCTGACTGAGCTTGATGTAGCTGAAGAGAAAAAGGTTGAAAGGAAAGCTGACTAGAGGCCAGAGGTGATGTCCCTTGAGGCCTGGAAGGCCAGCTACAGCTACCAAACTCCAGATGACAAGACTGCAGGCCCAACTCTCTTGTTCTAAAGGAGCCTGCAGGCCACATTACGTAAGGGGGCTCAGGGCCATTGGTCTGCTCTGGTGGTCAGAGCAGACTCAGGGTCTGAGGCCAGCCTGAAGGTGGGAACTGTAAAGAAAGTGGTGGTGGGGAGGGCTTGGGGTCAGGGGAATAGTTTAGTTTTGTTTCTGGTGAGTAGGTGCAGCTTACCAAACACTTGGCAAGTTGCCCTGGGGAAAGAGGGAGTGCTTGGTTAATAGCTGCGGCTGTTGATTCTGAATTTGTTATGTGAGGTTTGAATCAGAAGTCTCTATAACAGGGGCTGCTTTATGGGAAGTTTTCCTCTGACCAGGTCCAAGCACCTGACTGTAGAGGCCTAAAATGCTACGATTTCTTCATGTGACTCACAATCTTTCCCTGGAAAGACGGTTGTATTCCATTATTTATTGCTATTATTTAATCCAGAACCCCAGTTCTAGCAAAGCATTGGTGTTCATTCATTGACAGGATGCAATAGGCTGATTGTGTTTAAAAATTCAAAGTACCCCAAACTGAGTCCCTCTGCCCTTAGAGGTGTCTCTGTGTGGTGGTGGATCAGACTCTGACCACGGATTTTTTGCTTGGTTTTAGCACATTCTTCTGTTGAGTCGTAGCCACAAAGGTGAACTTTAAACATTTTTTTAAACTCATGTATCAGTTACACTTTAGTTAGTAGGTCACAGATTACAAGCTCCTGGCTCAAATCAGCAAGGACAAATGAACAAATTCATGAGTCAGAAGCCTGGTAATACTGCTAGTTTGAAGGATAATCCTTTAGTTTACTTAAGACCTTAGGTCTTTGTTCTAGATGATAGAAGGTAAGTTTCTGGGTTTCTGGTATGAACTTTAAGAGGACATGAACTGTTTTAGAATTCAAGTGGATTACCTGAATTCTCTTAGCTGTCATTGGCTTTAGAGACCATCCAAGACCATCTCTAAGCCACCAAATAGCTTGTTTCTATTAGGGCTGGTGTGAGGGATGCTGTGCAGACCCACGCAAGCCTACCTTGGTGCTAGAAGTGGTCATTTCCCTTTTCTGAAAACCTCACACCATGCTGCATGCTCCTTTTCCATCCCCAACACTGGGCTTTGTTTACACTCAGAGCTGTCTTGATGTGGATCATCGGGATAGTGCATTCCTGTCCTGTCTGCCTCCCCTTGCTGGAGGTTTGGTGGGCCTGCAGTCTCAGGAAGAGCTTGGTACTTGTGTGGACTTTTATTTTCTCCCTGTGGAGATCAGTGAAGACTTTGGGGGAAAAAGCTGCTTCAACCTCAAATCTGGCTCCTCACCAGACTGCCTGATTGGAAGCAACTAATTCTGGTGCTCAGGCTGCGCTTTAGCATCCAGGTCGGGCCAGAAGAGCAAGTTTGGCCTAACGGATGTTCCTTTCCTCATGAGCAGCCATGGTTGTGGTGGACTGTACAACTGTCCTGTGATGTGTCCAGAGGAACCTGCTGGTTTGGCTCATCCCCTGCCTGGACTTCTTATTCTTTGGTTTTAGAATTGGTCAGTTGTAAAGACAAGAACTGAAGCAATCTCCCTTTCTGACCATTCTTTTCCACCAAAAGGCCCCAGTCGCAGCCAGGGGAGTGACCTTGGTCATACTTGCTCAATAAAGACAATCAGGGGAGCATGATCATAGCAGTCTTCGGTTCAGGGCATGCATGGAGGAGAAAACGAGAGGAAATTCCTACTGCCATGAGTTGGGGCAATAGGGAATCTGTGCAAAGGCTGACTTGAGTAGACTATGTAAACATCCCTCCTGTCTGAGCCAAGATGGCACTTTTCCCAGGGATCCTCTGGAGCTAATCATTGAAGTGGTGTGTGCCTGTCTTGAGGATCCCTGACCAAGGGTTTAGCTTTCTCCATTCAAGTAACTGACCAGCTTGTCCCAAGAACTCACTGTCTACCCCCCTCCATGCTTCTCCTGGGGGAAGCATGGGCCTCACACCCTAAGTGACCCCATACAAACTTAGTGAGCCATGTCATTCCCCCTCTCATTACTGGATGGCAACTGCATTCTTCCCCTCTGTGCTGGATACAGACTTCCCCAGGAACCCTTCTGTGGGAGGGAAGCCAGAGACTCCCTACGGCACTCAAGCTTTGTGGTGGAATTAAATTTCTCCAAGGTCTTTGTTGTTTGTCTCGTTCAGTCCTTCTCCTGGTGTGCTAATCCCTTTTGCAATAGGTACAGTATGTGAGGTTGTCAGCCCTTTAATGTTGGCAAACCTTAATTAGTATAGAAACAGCAGTGAGCACATTATAATGGCACTGAGTAGTTTTTAATCCTGTTTCTATGCCTACAGGAAACACGTAAATTGCTGCCTGTTGCTTGCAGCACTGAAGTGTACCTTTGTGGATAGTTAGGATGGTAAACCAACATTTCATTGGTCTTTTAGCCACAAGAGTAGAGCCTGTGTACATATGGAATTGAATCACTTTGGCAAGTTTAACATAAATAATGTAAGAAAAGACCTATAGAATGAACATAAAGTGAAAGCGTGGGTGGAGGCAGGTTAGAAAAAGAGAGATACTTAAGAAATTTTAAAAGATGTGGATAGAAGACATCTTTGTCAATTCATGTTTCTGTGTGATGGTGAGTCCATGACACAGGGCAAGAAGGCACATTTTGAATCAAAGCTTCCGTGTATTATTTTCCTAGACCTGTACTATTCTGTACAGTTAACTGTTAGCCACATGTAGCTAATTAAATTAAAAATATTGATTCCTCAGTTGCACTAACCTTTTTTTAAGAGCTGAGCCACATAAGACTAGTGGCTACTATTGCACAGTACAGATATGGAACAGAAGTATTGTACATGAAGTTCTAAGGGACAGTGTTCTCTTGGAAGAATAAATGCCGACTCAGAGTGAAGATGTGTGGTATGGAAAGAAGTAGGGACAGTGTGCTTATAGGGAATCCAAGTTCTGGTAATCAAACCAGTCCTGTTAATCACTTTTCGCTGAGTGCTGTGAAGTTAACATTTCTCATTGGCAAGCTACGTTCAGGATACACTTTCCTTTTCCTCACTTGCCTCAAGACCTTAGTGTCTTGAAACTGCTGTCTCACTACCCCACCCCCCCATTTTTGGTGGAGGGTGGGGATGGGAGGTAGGATAATACAGTGGAAACATATAAAGCCGTTCATATTTAAAAGGTTTTTGAGTGGGGAGGCGCCCGGATGGCTCAGTTGGTTAAGCATCCAACTTCAACTCAGGTCATAATCTCACCATTCGTGAGTTCGAGCCTGTGTTGGGATCTGTTACTGACAGCTTGGAGGCTGCTTCAGATTCTGTGTCTCCCCCTCTCTCTGGCTCTCTTCACTTAGCCTCTGTCTCTCTCTCTCAAAAATGAATAAACACTGAAAAAAAAAAAAAGGTTTTTGAGGTGTGTCTGGGTGGCTCAGTCCAGTGAACATCCAACTTTTGATTTTGGCTCAGATCATGATCCTAGGGTTGTGGGACTGAGCCTGCTCAGGCTCTGTTGATTGTGGAGCCTGCTAAGATCCCCCCACCCCCTGCTTCTCTGCCTCTCTTCCTCTCCCACTCACGCTCTTTCTCTAAAAAAAAAATAAAAAGTAAAAGGTTTTCAAGGAATTACTTGCTCCCATACTTAATGTTAGTTTTTATTAAACACAAGAGTATCACATCCATATGTACTCTGTTCTCTCTGGCACCAGTGCCAAAGGAAGACAGAAGTCCTTCAAACCTCTCAGAGCTCAGGCAGATTCTACCTCCCTCTCTATGGCCACAACTATCCAGTCTATGCTGCTATAAGGGACCCACTGTAGCCCTTCTAGATTCCATCAAAGAAAGGCTTTAACCAGAGGCAGGAGGCCTGGTGGTGTGGGAAAGCTAAATCTTAGTGCTGAGGAAACTGGAGCCTCTCCTCCACTTACTGGCCTTAGTGTAGGAGGAGAATGGGAAAATCCCCAGGCCAGGAAGCTTCATTTTTACAACATTTTTTTTTTCTCAGACTATAGGGTCACTTTTGATTGAGGCAAAGGGGCCCTATTACTAAAGAAGACATACTCCTTTAGCACAAGTTTTCACTAGCAGGATGGTGCTGTTGGACATGCTCTTCCCTTCTACTTGTTAAGCTAAGAAACCCAAGGATGCTACGAGAGTGGCTGAAACTTCAGTCAGAGCCCTCAAAGGCCTGTGATAGAACCTCACAGATCCCACAGGATCATCAGTCTGAACCCAGGTCATCGGGGCTGTCATAGCCAAACTCCTTCTGCACATCCAAAGGGTATTTGCTCCGCATCTGTGGTCTGCTGTTGCCTCTTTCCTCTTCACTGAAGCTGTCGTATTCATCAGAGCCTAGAACAATAGAAATGGGCTCTGTGTGAGTTTCTAGGTGACCATGACAATGTTTACCATCTCATGAAGGTCTGGTTTTTTGTTTTCTATTCTAAAATACTTGCTTAGTAAAGAAAATTTTGAATTAAGAAAAGTGGGAGGGGGGGCGTGGGGGCACCTGGGTAGCTTAGTTGGTTGAGCGTCCTACTTCGGCTCAGGTCATGATCTCACGGTTTGTGAATTTGAGCCCCTTTAGTTTCTCTATCCCCTTCCTCTGCACTGCTTGTGCTCTCTCTCAAAAATAAAGAAAAAAAGGCAATTCTATTCCTCCACCATCTAAACCAAGTCCCTCAACATTGGAATATTTTTTCATTTCTTCCCTAAGTACAGGATTTTTTTTGTTACAATAGTTGTAGTCATACTGTAAATATAATTTCACATCTGCCCCTTTCTTTTTAACATATCACAGGCACTCCCCCAAAAGAATATTCCATAGTTTAACCGTTCCTCTGTTAACAGAGACCAAGAAGTTCTTTTTGTTGACACAAAGAACATAATCATCGAAGGAACTTTATCATGAGTATCTTTCCTTCCTCTTTCCCTGGGGTACCATGTCTGTGTTGCAGCTTTCTCAAAACAGTACAAACACAGCAACTTCCTGAAAAGTTAGATAAATGATTTGTTAAAATCCTAGCTCTGCTCCTACTGGCAAACCTCCCTAATATTCCCAAACCTCTCTTCTCTTGACTGAACAAGAGAAGAGACACTGGGCCAGATGTTTCCCGTCATCCCCACCACTGAGGATAGCGCAATATTCTCTTGTTTTCTGGAGACAGAATGAGGCTCAGTGAGGTGAGTTAATGTCCCCAAGACCCACAAATACACAATGGCAGAACCAAGGATTTGAACCCAGGCCTGACTGACATTAAAACCCCAGCAGGCCCCCTGGAAACACTGGTTCTTGGGGCTCCTACAGCTCCAATGGCTTGTGGGTGAGTTGTTGGGAACTCAGTGGCAGAGAGGAAAGCCAGTTAAGATGTATGTGAACCGTGCTCACACCTGTCTTGGATCCCACTAGTCCCTTCCCATCCAACACTGCCACCCATGTACCTCTGGAATCTTCATCTCCATCACTGTTCTCCTCCTCTGGGTACTCATTGCGCCAGTTACTCTCACTGTTCTCATCATCATCATCTTCATAAATGTCTTCTGGTTGCTGGTCATCATTCACCTGCACATCTCAACACAATCATGAATATAAGTCACAACCTCTAAGGTTGTAGGCAGAAAGCTATTAGCAGACCAACTTGGAGAACATGGGAGAGCACTGTGTGAAAATGAGGCAGCCTAGGAGCTGCTTTGGGTCTGCTGCACAAGAGGCTATAGTAACTTTAGGCTACAAGATTGTGACAGCAGCCCTACTCCCCACTCAGAGTCCAGCTCCAGGCATCACAATCCTGCTAAGATAGGATGGATTCCACCAGAAGAGAACACATCAGGCTGGGGAGAGACAGCTCTAAGCAGGTGATAGCAATGATCTTCAAACTTTAGAAGGCCAGCCAGGTGGGAGAGGGATTAAATGGATGATGGGTGATGCCAAAAATCAGAACCAAAACTTGAATGTGAGGAGCAGGAAGAGGGACTATACAATGGTCCAAGGTGGGTACTTGATTGTGAGACTATGGTTGCAGTGTAGGTATGTGATAAATATGCCTCTCACCATTTTAGAATTTGTTTTAAGAATAATGACATCAGGGGCGCCTGAGTGGCTCAGTTGGGTTAAGTGTCCGACTCTTGATATTGGCCCAGGTTGTGATCTCATGGTTGTGAGGTGGACCTCTACATCGGGCTCTACACTGAGCATGGAGCTTTCCTGAGATTCTGTCAGACTTTCTCAAAATAAACAACATCAACAAAAAAAGAACTGGAATGCCTGGGTGGCTCGATTGAGCATCCAACTTTGGCTCAGGTCATGATCTCATAGTGCCTGAGTTTAAGGGCACACTGGGCTGGCTGCTGTCAATGCAAAGCCTGCTTTGTATTCTCTGTCCCCACCCCGCCTGCCCCTCCCCCGCTTGTGGGGGGGAAAAAAAAAAAAGAATAATGATGGCAGGGGCACCTGGGTGGCTTAGTTAGTTAAGTGACTGATTCTTGATTTTGGCTCAGGTCAAGATCTTGTGGTCTATGAGATCAAGCCCCATGGCAGGCTCTGCGCTGATGGTAAGGAGCCTCCTTGTGACTCTCTCTGCCCTTCCCCTGCTTGTGTGTGCACAGGCATGCTTTCTCTCTCTCTCAAAATAAATAGGGTCGCCTGAGTTGTTCAGTAGTTTAAGTGTCCGACTTCGGCTCAGGTCATGATCTCACGATTCGTGAGTTTGAGCCCTGCGTCGGGGTCTGTGCTGACAGCTCAGAGCCTGGAGCCTGCTTCAGATTCTGTCTCCCCCTCTCCCTGCCCCTCCCCTGCTCATGCCCTATCTCTCTTGGTCTCTCGAAAATAAACATTAGAAATAAATAAATAAATAAAACTTTAAGAAAAAATAATGATGTCAAGGGGCACCTGGCTGGCTCAATCAGTAGAGCATGTGACTCTTGATCTTGGGGTCATGAGTGTGAGCCCCACAATGGGTGTAGAGCTCACTAAAAAAAAAGAGAAATAAAATTTAATTTTTTAAAACATTTATTTACTTTTGAAACACAGAGAGACAGAGGTGAGCAGGGGAGGGAGGGAGTGAGAGAGAGAGAGGGAGACAGAATCTGAAGCAGGCTCCAGGCTCTGAGTTGTCAGCACAGTGCCCAACGCAGGGCTCGAACCCACGAACTGTGAGATCATG